ACCGTACTCGGAATGGAGCATTTCGTGTCCCCAAATCAGGTGTTTCCTTCGCCTGGAACGACCTGGCTTCCATCCATCCCTGTGTCTCAGCACTGCTGGCCCTTCCGTGTTACTTTCCCGACTGAACGTGGTGTTTTACCACCTCGCGCTTTCCAACTTCACGTGCGCTTTGCATGTCTCTCTATTAACACTTCAGCTCCCACCACACTCTGGGCACACACAAGGCCACGTAAGCGTGACTACTCAACACCACCTGCCCCGCCACTGTAGGACTTGAGCGCCGTTCAGGGGCACCCTCACCCCCACTGTGTGCAGGTGTGTTCAAGAATGAGCCACACCTGCTGGCACCCTTGTCACCTGCTCCTTCCACTTCTGATATCTTGCATTCCAACGCAACAAAACACTCGAGGCGCCAGCCCAGGGCAGCCTTCCCTTCAGACCCCACTGGGTTGAGCCCCACATCAAGGTCCCTTCTCCTTCCAATCTGTACCATATTTTGTCACCTGGGCCTTCAAGTAAGTAAGCTGCTAATGTCCAGTTTCTCGTAAAGCTCTTTATTTCAAGATAATAGAGTGAAACAAAACTAATTTCAGTTTCGTCTATAAGCCCTCTTTCCATACAGCTCCACAAACCAGCCTAGGGGGCGGGCAGGGGACCAGGTGTCACCATACCCTCTGTGGTCTGCAGTGTCTGATGGGCGTGTTCCTTTCTCAGGTCTGAGCAGAAGGAGAGGAGAATAGGGATCCACGATGCTGCCCCTCCAGCGTCAAATGCAGAACACAAAACCTCTCGTGAGAGGCTTGTTTGTTGTTCTGCTGTGTGGCTGCCCTGGGGCCCTGGCCCAGCTGCTCCGGGGCGTGAGAAGGCTGGTGGCTTCAGGGAAGGGAGCCTGGGTTCCGTTCTCTCCTTCCAGGCCCCTGGGTCTGCCAACGTCAGGAGCAGGAGGGAACTCTGCATTTTCCTCCACTTGGTGTGTATGGGGAGGAGGTCCTGGCCAACACAGCACCACCCAGACGTGTCTACAGGCCAGCTTTCCCCAGAACCCGAGGCTGCCCTGAGAGAGGCCTCCAGGCTGCCAGGCAGGTGTGGGGACAGGAACCTGCTCCGGGCAGCACACGGGCTGCCCTGGGTGTGGTGGCTGTGCTGGGTGCAGTTGCAGGTCAGAAGTGATTAGCCCAGCCTTTTACTTTCGGTTATATTGTAAATATAACCACAAATTCACTGAGATATCCTCAAGCTCGGAGGTTCTTTCCTCAGCCCTGTCCAGTCTATTAATGTGCCCATCAAAGGCATTCCTCATTCCTGTTAGCGTTTCTCAGCTCTAGCATTTCTTTTGATTCGTGATTAGGATTTCCATCTCTGCGTCTACAGCGTCCATCTGTTCTGCACGCTGTCTGCTTTGTCCATCGGAGCCCTTAGCATCTTAGTCGCAGTTGTTTTAAGTGTCCAGCCTGATAGCTCCAGCATCCCAGCCGTGTCTGGGTCTGGTTCTACACTCGTTCTGTCTCTTCAAATTGTGTTTTTGCCTTATAGCACGTCTTGTAATTTTTTCTTGGTAGTCGGACACGAGGCGCAGGTAAAAGGAGCTGCTGTAAATGGGCCGTTAGTGATGGGATGGTCGGGCGTGGGGGAGGGCAGTCTTCCAGCCCTGTGGTGAGGTCTGTCTTTCAGTGAGCCTGCACCTCTGGACTGTGGACTTCACCCGTGCTTCCCAGTGTTTCCCCCTTTGGTAGGACACGATGGCCAGAGCGGGCTGAAGCCAGCTACTCCCCTCCTGCCAGGTCAGGTAGTCTCTGAACTAGTTTCTCCCGAGCACAGGCCTTCTCAAGCCGAGCAGAGGACTCTGGGTAGTTAAAAAGGGTTCCTTGTCCCCCTACCTACCAGGAGCACGAGAGGGTTTCCCTTTGCTATTTATTGGGGGAACCTGGTTGAGCTCTCAGAGGAAAAACTCACAGAAGTGTGGGCACCCCGGGGACTGGGCCCGCGGTAGCTTTTCTCTCTCCGCCTTGTCCTGCCTGAGGCTCCAGCAATTCGTCAGTCATGGGGCCGCTTCCCAGCCCAGCCCTGGCTCCCACAGAGTGTGTGCTGTGGGCTCTGCTCTGGCTAGCGGAGACTCTCTGCTGTGTCCCCACCTCTGTGCCCCCTCTAAGAAGAGTTATTGGTTTTTCAGTTTGTTCAGCATTTTATGGTAGCAACTTGAAGCTTCCCACATACTAGGTCAGAAACAGGAAGTGCCCCCACAAATTTAAGGACACACATTTTTATGTATGCTTTTTTTTTTTTTCCTGGGAAAATTGTTTATAAATTTTATCAGATGCTCCAAGGGACTCTGAGCCCTTTGTCACTGAGCCAGGTGGCAGATTGAAGGAGGGCCTGGGCTCGGAGCCAGAAGACGTGGCTTAGAGGTCTCACCTGGTTCCGAATTGCTGCGTGAGCTGACAGACCTCTTTATTGCAGGCCCCTGTAAAAGGGGACAGTGACCTTTGTCTTGCGTGGTGAGTTTATCACATGTTCGCAGTCCTGTTCACACATTCTTTGACATGCTTCCCAGCAGAAGGCGGGCTCTAATTGTCCTCTCCTTATATGGGCCACTTTGATGAGCTGCTTCTAATTATGGAGGCAGTGATGATGCTCCGTGACCCCAGATTCTAGGTTAGGAAAGGGGATACAGCATCTGCCTGGCTTCTCCTGGAACAGGACAGATGCCCAGGAGCCCTAGGGCCGGATGTCAGTCTGGCTACCCAGAAGCTATGGTGCTGGGGAGACTGGAGGCATGACCACAGGGGGAGAGAGAGAGGTGTTCGAGGAACTCTGCCCCAGCTGTGGGCCCTTCCCTGCCAGGAGTCAGGCACGTGAGTGAGCACCTTCAGATGGCTATTTATTGCTCCTTTGAGCTGCCCCAGCTGAGACCAGTTGGAAGAGAGAGGAGCCAGCCCTGCTGAGCCCTGCTCATTTTGCACATTCACAAGTGAAATAAATGTGGCTGTTGCTTTAAGCCACTAAATTTTGGGGTGGTTACGCAGCATTAGATAATAACCCAGCACCCTGCCTACCTTCAAGGGAAGTGTAAGCCTCACCTAGCATGAGACCTTCCACATGGTAGGCACTCAGTACAGTGGAAAATGTGGGCCTGTGTGAGCCACTGTTGTTCGCATGACAGGATAGCCAGGCCACTCCTGATGGGAGCTCTGTTTAGCTAGGCTAAGTCACTGGGTTTTCTGGAGATGCAAAGAGTTAGTCACCCAGCCCAGCTAGTTGTTTGGTTCTTTGGAGAGGGGTGTGTGTCCTCAGACCAGAAACAAGCTCTGTGGGGAAAGCACATGAGGGTGCTTTTCCTGTTGGCTGTTGGCCACGGTAGGCTTCCTGGGGAGGGGTGGGAGCACTGGGCTGAGGCCGGGCTGGGTGACGGTGGTCCCTGCAGGAGGTGCAGCCCGTCTTCCTGTTATCTGTGCCCTGTGCTGTGACCCCATGCTGGGGGCTTCCCCTCCGTGCCCCCAAGACCGGCTCTACATCCCCCTATCCTTGCCCGATTACGCCGTCCACTCTCTGCTCCTGCTCCCTCCAAGCAGGAAGTCCTCAGGGAAGGAACTGTATTGTATTTGTTTTGTAACACCAGAGCTTTTTTTTAAATATGTTTTTTATTGATTTTTTTTAGAGAGAGGGAAAGAGAGAGAGAGAAATATCGATGAGAGAGGAAGATCAATCGAGTGCTTCCTGCACACCCCCTCACTAGGGATCAAGCCCACAGCCCAGACATATGCCCGAACTAGGAATCAAACCAGTGACCTCCTAGTTCATGGGTCGACATNTAAATATGTTTTTTATTGATTTTTTTTAGAGAGGGAAAGAGAGAGAGAAATATCGATGAGAGAGNTAAATATGTTTTTTATTGATTTTTTTTAGAGAGAGGGAAAGAGAGAGAGAGAAATATCGATGAGAGAGGAACATCGATCGAGTGCTTCCTGCACACCCCCTCACTAGGGATCAAGCCCACAGCCCAGACATATGCCCGAACTAGGAATCAAACCAGTGACCTCCTAGTTCATGGGTCGACATTCAACCACCGAGCCACCCCGGCGGGGAGTAACACCAAAGCTTAATGCACACCCTGGGGTGAGCTAGGTGTCCGACGGGTGTGTGTTGAAGGCCTCTGAGCACCTCACTGAGTAACCCAGGGCAAGGAGGAAGGTGGCCATGAGGTGAAGTGGCCCCACCCAAGCTTGCTGTGCTGGTGGCTGAAGGACCAGAGTGGGGACCCCTCCCCATGGGGACAGGAGACCTAGAGAGGCACCATTCTCATCTCAGGCCCTGTTTGTAGGTCTCTGTCCTGCTTTGTGCCCCACAGTCCATGACCAATCCCCTGGCAGTAACCCACCCAGCACCACCAGTCCTGTGGGGTGGGGGTCCCATGGCTGGGCTCTCCGCCAACTCCCTGCCCACTACCAGGACCTCTGCTGCCTGCTTGGCCGGCCTACTCCAGCCCTGCCCAGGGCCAGCCTCTGTCATCCCTGGCCCTGTGACTGGCAGTGAGGTTCTTTGTCTTCCTGCCGGGCTGTTGTGTAAGCCACAGTCTGATATCAGCTCTGACGCTGTTTTCCCAGAAGGGGGTTTGCCCAGACCCAGACCTCAGAATCCACATGAAGATGCTACTAAAGAAAAGGCTGAGTCGCCAGAGGCTCTTAGACCAGAAAGGAAGGAACCCAGGCCGACCCCCCTCCCCAGCCTATGTTTCCTATCAGACACAGAGCTTTACAGCAGGAAGGCCTGCCCGCCAGAGCCTCGGGCCTTCGCTCCATCTGCCCACATGCCCCGGGCCTGGATGTCTGCCTAAGCAGATGTGATTGAACTTGCTGCAGGAGAAATATCTATAAAACGTTAACTATCAACATTAAAGAAGCCTGTCAGACCCAGGCTGGGCTGGTGGAGGAGCACCCAGCATCCGGGCCCGTTCCCACTGTGGAGGCCTTATCTTCAATGCCCACGGGTCTTTCTTCATTCCTCCAACCCCATCACAAGGAGATGTCTTGGCCCTGATATCCTGGAGCTACCCCGATGGAAAGGCAGGTAAGCCTTGTGCTGCGTGTCATGGCCAAGCCTCAGTGTCCAGGGTCATGCCTCAGTGTCCATGCCCACCCTCACTGTCCACAGCCATGTCTCGGTGTGTGTCCACGCCCATGCCTCAGTGTCCACAGCCATGCCTCACTGTGCAGAGCCATGCCTCAGTGTCTACTCCCATGCCCAAAGGGCCCTGAAGCCACGTGCTCCTGAGACAGGGACCTCATCTTTGTGGGATGGGATGTGATCCGCAGCTGGTGCAGCTAAAGTACGAGTTGATTGACTGAACCTGGCATTCACTCCGGGCCTCTTAGTGGGAATGGAAATGAGGGAGCCAGGGCGGCGTCCCCTGCTGTGTGGCTGACAGCTGTCCCAGGCCCCTTCTTCACACAGCTGTGCCCTGAAATCGTGAGTGCCTGGGCCCTGAGGCGTGGACCTGATGGTGGGAGTTGGGGGGCACAGCTCCTGAGGGGACCCTCCTGTTCCTCTGGGCCCTCTGCTCCTGGCCCACCTGTTCCTGGGATTTACACAGAGCTTTCAGGGAGGGGGAGGTGTGGCTGTGGGGGAGCATTATATGTTGGGGAGGGTTTTCCTAGTCCAATGCTGGTCACAGCCACAGTGGTGCTGGCCCTGCCTTCCTCTGGAGGGCTGGGGACAAGTCTTCCAGGGCATATCCCTTTTGTTGGAACATACAACTCATGCTCAGACCCAGAAGACCAGGCAAGATGAGCTGCACAGGCTGGGGGTGCCCACCGCGCCCAGCATCCCCATTTGAAGCACTGTTTTTTTTCTTTCTTTCCACATTGCCCGCATACCCTCTTTCTGGGGCCTGGCAAACATCTGTGTCCCTGGCAGATACCAATGCCACCGCACGGGGCCCTGAACTCAAGGTGAAGAGAGATGGAGACCCTGAGCAGAACCCCCCAGTGGATTGCGCTGAGAGGTGGCCGTCACGGCCAGGTGAGTGGGCCATTTGTCTCGGAGGCCCAGATCTGTGGGAGCCGATGTCCGGCTCCATCCCTCTGCGCACATGTAGAGGGAGAACAGAGCAGAATAGCTGATGACACGCCAGTGGTGGGGGGACCACCGGTCAGCATCCTGGGACCAAGGGAGAGGAGCAAAGGGCCTGAGTGGCCAGAAGCCAGAGGGGACAAGAGAGAGGCCTGAGTGGGAGGGGCTTGCTCCCTGTGACCGGCAGAGGAGGGTCCTGTGAGGGCCCCCCCTAGAACCAGGGTGGGGGGAGGAAAGGAGTGGAGGCACCGCAGCAGAACCCTCCCCCCAAGGCCTCCACATGGCTGGTAGACATGACCCTGAAGTAAAGGATGTTTTGGGCTCAGCTTCAGGGCTCTCTGTGTGGGCCTGGTGGACAGATAGTAAGGTGTGCAACAGTGACAAGGCTGGGGGTGGGTTTGTCTGTGCATGTGCACCCCCCCACACACACATGCACCCTGTTGGAATGGGATATACTGGAGACAGAAGCTCTGAACAGGGCAGGCAGCTACCATGATGCCAGGGGGCCACAGAAGAAGATCTGCCTCCACAGAGGGGCTTCCCTCTGTCTAAGAAGGACACGCCCACCCACAGGCCAGACATGAGTAAGCACTAGACAGTGGCTGTGTCACCCTGGCTGTGGTGTGAGTAATGGGGCTAGACAATGCCATGGGACACACAGAAGACACACTGGGCCCATGAATCTCTTTCTTCTGGGCTTGGCGTGAATCACAGCCACCATTTTCCAGACGGGAGCATCCGTAGACTTTTGAGGTCTTTCTCCCTAGAGACTGATATTCTCCTGCTGCCTGGAGTGAGTCCATTTAAATCCGACTCCCTCAGTGTAACTGGGAATCCCCAGGAGGTCTAGAAGTTGAAGTGGGTTCTGCCCAGTACAGGGATGCTGCAGGAGAGGGGCAGGGAGCAGGTTTCAGGCCTGTGTACTTCCCACAAGGTCTCCCTGCCCAAAGCTGCTGCGTGTATTTGTGGGAATGACCAATGGGCTGCTCTGTCATCCCAGAGATGTGGGTGATGGCTGGAAACTCTTGGTTTGAAGATCCACCCGCCTCCCCTAAAAGAGCTGAGTCAGCAGATGGAAGCGATGAGGCATGCTGTGCTGGAGTTGTCGGGTGTGTGTGTGTATCTGCTCAGCATGGCCAGAGAGGGTGGTGAAAGGACAAGTGACACATCAGGAGTCCACGGGCCAGGCTCAGACCCTGCTATGGACAGAACAGGTTCCCTGGCCTGGCTCGGTGCAGGCAGGGAGG